GATTTGATCTTTTCGATCGTGATTGGTTCTTTTCACATTGTTTGATGCATTTGAGTTGTTTTTGGTTAGTTTTTGAGCCGTTCGGATGTTGGAACGCGTATGATGGCATTTTGGAGCATCTCTTGGCTTGCTCGGTGTTGGAATTGGCTTATTCGAGGTAAGTAACTCTTCTAATCTTAGTGCTGAGGGTATGAAACCCTGAATTACGTGTTATGTGATTGATATTGAGGTGACACACATGCTAGGTAATGGGCGTGTGGGCGTGCACCATGTGAATTGAGACTTTGTTTTTCCTATGGCACTGTATAGTGGTCCTACTTTGTTGATATCCGTGTTTTCACCATGTGATAAGGTAGTTAAGCTGCCAATCATGCTAGATATCATGTTTAGGCATTATGCCAATACTGTTTGGACCTATAGTGGTCGTTTCTTACTGTCATCTTACTGATTGCATTGATATTTCATACTCAGTAATATCCATGCATTCATACCATATCTCAGTCTCAGATATTATTTATTGATACATAATATCATTGTTGTCGGGCTAGTTTCATGACATTGTGAGCCCATGAGTGAGACTGGAGAGATTGATGACTGAGTGAGACTGAGGGCCTGAGTGAGAGTGACATTTTGGGATCGGGCTGCACGCCTTAACATATTATATTGATAATATTTATATGGATTGGGTTGCACGCCGCAACAATATTGGATCGGGTTGCACACCGCAATAATATTGGATCGGGTTGCACGCCGCAACAATATAGCGCTTGGGCTGAAGGATCCCCTTCAGAGTATGCACACCCCCAGTGAGCGCAGTTGTTATTATTGAGGGATGGATCTTCCCTAGACATAGATCTTGTCCGAAGCATTATATACCTGGAGATGGATCTTCTCCACGGGCTGGATTGGCCCTACTCGGTACTGAGTGACTGATGATCAGTTGATATGTATATTCCAGGATCAATCTTCCATGGGTCGGATTGGCCATATACAGTACCGAGTGATTGAGTATGATGAGTGGAATGTGTGAGAAAGTGAGATTGAGTATTCTAAGAGTGTGAGTACATGAGTTCATCTCTGAGATACATTGCATTGACATGCACACATGACATACATGCATCGAGATGTATTTTGCTCATGCTGTACGATATTACCTCATTCATGATTTCCCACATATGTTGACAGATGGGTATAGTGATGCATTTGTTTTACACTGGTTATCTGGAAAGGAAATGAAACATCTTATTTATTATTATTGAAAGAATTTTTTGGAAAATTATTGTTTTCAAACTTATTCATATTTTTGGCAACTTCGGTAAACGATTTGAGTTTTCACTTATGTACTTGAAAGGCAGAACTATTTTTCGGAAATCATGATTTTGCTGAGCATCTTATCTCTGAGTTACTTCTTGTATTATTTGCTTTACGTTATTATGAACTGTTGTTGGTAATTGGTGGTGGACCCGACCTTGGTACAAGCTCGTCACTACTTTCAACCTAAGGTTAGGTTTGTTACTTATTGAGTACATGGGGTCGGTTGTACTCATACCACACTTCTGCACCTTACGTGAAGATGTTAGCTGCTGATGTTACTTTGTTCGATGGTAGATGGATTGAAGATGTACCTGCGTCCCGACTGTAGCTGCCTCTTGTTCATGGTAGCTTTAGATCTGTAAAACTCTATTGTTGTACTATGTAGACAAATTATGTATTTATTTTATTTCCACTTTGTAAACTCTATTCTTAGAAGTTCATGATTTTTACTACCAGTTCTTGGGGAATGTTTCAGATTCAGATTCAGATAATTTCTTTACTTAAATGCTTTATTAATTATTATTGGAATTGGTTAGTGGTTAACTAGCTTACCTAGCGGGTTGGGCTAGGTTCCATCACGACTAGTTGGATTTTGGGTCGTGACACCTATTAAACCTACAGTATTCTCATTGTAGAGGAGTTTCACCTCCTTCTGCTTATTGAGCCCATTCAGGCCCCTCACATTTCAACATAATATATTAACCATTTCTAGTAACTGGAAATAGTTTATCACCTCTTCCAACTTCCACCAATTTCTGCACCCCTGAAGTTGAGTTACCCTCTTTACCCAATGCTTGAAATAAGTTTGCCACTACCACTGCTTCCTTTTATACTCTAGGTAACTTCCCAATCTTGGATAGTTGAACCCACCCTCCATCTTTCTTAGCACCATCCATCTGTACTCTGAATTCTTCCCCTTGCGTCTTGTGTTGTGCAATCCTTGTTTCAAAGTTGTTGTTGTCCTTATTTCTTCCTGTTTTATTAGTCTCTGTTTTCTTCTCTGTCTCAGCTTCTTTCTCCTTATAGTTTTGAGGATTCTCCCCATGAACATCCTCTCCTTCCCTGTTTCCTTTGTCTTTTTATTCAACTTATTCTTCCTGCATATATCTGTTGTATGCCAATATTTGTGACAAGTATCACACACAGATGGCTTCCAATCATAAACAACCTTCTGATCTATCACAACTCCTGTCTCATTTCTAAAGTATATCTCCTTAGGTAATTGAGCCCCAATCTTCATTTCACCAATAATCTGGCAAAGTTAAGCCCTACTTTCTTCTCTATATTCCTATTAACTATCAATGGTTTCCCAACCAAGCTTCCTATTTCGCTCAGGCCTCTAGCACTCCAATATTTGAAATCTAGTCCAGGAAACCTTATCCATATAGGAACTGAAAGAAGTTCCTCCCTAGAAAACTCCATATCCTGATTCCACTCCTTAACAATGAACGGTTTATTATCGAAGTGGTAAATACCCCCTTGTAGGACTTTATTCTTACATGCCTCACTATCAAAACGAATCAGAACTATACCATTTTTCATCATGACTATTTTATTGATACCGATTTTACCCCATAGCCATTGAATGACCCATTTAGTACTGAAAATGGAGGGTAAGCACCTAAAACATAACATCCCATTTCTTCCAATATTCAATCTCATAGTTAATGTCATCCTGAATAATTTCCCCAATCTAATGTTCCCCGGAATGAACTGAGTCTACATATTTCAATTTAAAACCAGCGTTTGAGAATTTTGATATATCAAAATTATCCCAAATGGAAGCCCTCGATTCTGAAATCTTACCTGCTACCTCATCTTGTAATTCAACTTCAGCCGCCCAGGATTGTTTCCTACTGCTACTCGAGGAATGGATAACATCTAACCATTCCCCCAATTTGTCCTTCGCATGTGTCACAATCTCAATTTGCATGTTAGGTTTCTGCACAATTGCCAGAGATGCTTCTCTAGAGATGCTAATTCCTTCGTTAATTATCTATGTAAAGTGCTCCGCTTTGCCTCCTCCTCTAATAGTGGTCTTCGGCGCATATTTTTGTGTTGGTATCGCCGCCTAGGACTGAGATGAAGGTCATCCTCTCCTACCTCCCATGGTTGGCGCACGTTATGCTAACTTGCACCAGGAGAGAGAAACCATCGATCACTAATTGTATTTGTTTTAATGTGTATTTTCGGGTAATTATCTTTTGTCCAAATGTGCACTCTCGTTAATTTTTCGAATAAATATCAACTTCCTCTAAATTCTATTATGGATACCTTCTTTTCAAACACCACACTGAGCATTTCAACCCTTAAAACTCCCACATTTAGTTCAAAGCAGAGGCCCTTCCCTTGTAAGTGAAGTACAAAGCCAGATAATATGGCTACTAGTATTCTAACGAGATAAAGTGAACCAAGATTAACATATGCTCCCAAATGTTGCCACCTACTTCCTTATGCAACTCCTATAGTATAAATAGAAGAAATAAGCTATTTGAAGTACTTGCATCTTAAGTCTTAACTTGGAGAAAAGCGATCATCAAATTGTACTGCTTAGAGCATCCATATAATTATCAAGAATTGTTTGAATCCAATTCTGATCCCTATTTTAACATTTCAATCATTGATGAAAACTTAGTTAACGTGTATGACTTTATAGATACTGACACGGATCTAATTGTACAATAGAGAAGAAATAGAAGAGGAGAAAGCACGTTACAAAAGCCTTGCTCCAGCACCAAGGGAAAATGTTGGACAAATAAGCAAGACGTACCGCGTACGGTACAAAAAACAGCAGATGGATCCAAAAGCCTTGCTCCAGCACCAAGGGAAAATGGTATTTAGTAATGAAGGGAAGCAACTAATATGCTGTCACTAAAAAGAATGCCACATATCAATGCTCAATATAATTAGTAGTGGATGCTCTATTATGAAAGACAAGAAAGATAAGAGTGGGTTGCTCTTGGGGTGATTCGAACTCATAGTCGAGTCACCCCAAGAGCAAGGTGGGGAGTTCTTGGAGGGAGGGAGCCGAGGGTCTATCGGAAACAGCCCCTCTACCCTAGGGTAGGGGTAAGGTCTGTGTACAAACTATCCTCCTCAGACCCTAGTAGTGGGATTATATGGGTTGTTGTTATTGCTTTGGAGGCTCTACTATGAAACATTGAAAGATAAGACAACAATGAAGTGTACCATATCGAAAGCACTGAAGTCTCAAACTGGGGCTTCGGCAAGAAACCAACAAGCAGTATCCCTATCTCAAAAGTAACACACTGAACCATGCAATAAGACAAACCAATTGCAAATGCAGCTCCACTGCTTCCCAAGTTCAAAGATGTTTTTTTTTTCTTAAACGAATTCATGCTCGATCAAAAAATGACGCATAAATTGGGATGGAGGGAGTATAACATATCAAGTATAGTAGGTCATTTGATTTATTTTTCAGTTCAATTACTATTTTAGTTATTATGAACAAATACATGTACCTACCTCTCAGATAACTGATAATGTATAAATTCTATTAAATTATCAGTGACCACCAGAAGTTAAACTCATAAAGAATTTAACTTGTATACACAACCAAGTAACCTTACATTTAACATGTTTAACTACACTAATAACTTTAAAATTGTTATAAATAATATTAAGAGTGAATGTCCATGTATTATGAAATTACTTGGGAGCAAATTATGGCCAAGTGGCATGGCCTTCAACAAGTGGCAAGGCTTTTCAACAAATGTCAAAACCTTCAACAAGTGGCGAGGCCTTTCAAGTTTCAACGGCAAAGTCTTTTCAACAAATGTCAAGACTTTCAACAAGTGTCAAGACTTTGGACAAGTGGCCAAATCCTTTCATGCAAAAGTATCTATAAATAGGCCCAAACACTTGAAGAATATTAATGAAGAAAAGTTTATTAATTATCTCCATCTAAATTCCTCTTGTTTTACTTTATTTTCTATTATTCCATAACACGTTATCAGTACGAGACTCTACCATCTCAAGAAGCTTTTTGAAAAAACTAAGGTATAATTTTTCTCCTCTTTTAATTATGACTGATTTTATGAAAAGAAAGTTCGTTGCCCTTGAAATTTTGGGCAAGAACTATATATCATGGGTGTTGGATGCCGAAATCCATTTAGATGCAATGAGTCTTGGAGACGCCATTAAAGATAAAAATAAAGCATCTACCCAAGACTGTGCTAAGGCCTTGATTTTCTTGCGTCAGCCCATCACCTTGATGAAGGGCTGAAAATAGAATATCTCACAGTCAAAGATCTACTTATTTTGTGAAATGGCTTAAAGGAAAGATATGACAACTTAAAGTTGGTCACACTTCCACAAGCACGATATGATTGGGCTCATCTGAGACTCCAAGACTTTAAGTCTGTTTCTGAATATAATTCGGCGATGTTCAGAATTACTTCTAAATTGAAACTATGTGGAGATAGTATCACTGACTATGATATGCTTGAAAAAACGTTCACAACGTTTCATGCCTCTAATATTGTCCTGCAACAGCAGTACAGAGAGAAATGTTTCAAGAAGTACTCTGAGTTGATTTCTCTTCTCCTTGTAGCTGAACAAAATAATGACTTGCTCATGAGAAATCACGATAATCGACCCACTGCGTCTACACCATTTCCTGAAGTGGATAAGGTGTATTCCTATTATGCTAAGCGCGGAAAAGATCGTGGCCCTATTTGTGGTCGTGGCCGTGGCCAAGGAAGGAATTTTACTGGTGTTAATCCTCCCCCAAAGAAAAATAACCACCAAAAGTGGAAAGTAAATAATGAGAAGCCAAAGGCAAAAGGTTTAGAAACTGAATGCTATCGTTGCGGTGGAAAAGGACATTGAAAAAATATCGGTCGTACACCAATACATTTGGTTGAGCTTTATCAAGCATATCTAAATAATAAAGGCCCAGAAGCTAATTTTGTCTCTGACAATGAATTTGACATCAATCACTTGGACGTGGCAGACTTTTTTGAGCACCATGGTGAAAAAATAGACCACTTGATCGGTGATGGATCCGTGGTTAAAGATGAATGAGTAATTTGGTTTTTATTTTCGTATATTTATAGTAGCTAGTGAATAAATATCATGTAATCATAGTTCTTTATATAAGTAGTAGTTATTAGTATCAATTAGTATCATAATCAGAGTTGCTCGAAATTGCATTAAAAGGTCATTATTGAATTATTAATTTAACTTTATTTCTTTTCTCTTTTCTCTGAAAATACTACTGTTTATTCGTATATTTCTTTTGTATGTCAATTTATGGAAAGCAAATATGGAACCTCACAAAGCAAACTTGGATCAAAGTTTAATTGTAAAAATATTTATTTAATTGATTCATGTACGACACATACAATATTCAAAGAGAAGAAATATTTCTCTCATTTAAGTATGTGTAAGGAAGATTTTCCTATAATTTTTGGTTGTAATAATCTAATTGAAGGCTCTGGAATAGCTACTATAACTCTGCCTAGGGGAACAACACTTATCATAGATAATGCAATGTTCTCCTCCAAGTCCAAGAGGAACTTGTTGAGTTTTAAAGATATCCACCAAAATGAATATCATATTGAGACAATAGATGAGAATAATCTTGGATATCGCATCGTTACCAAGAATGTCTCTAGCCAAAAAAAGGTTATTGAGAAGTTCTCATCTTTATCTTGTGGCATGTATTGGACAAACATTAGTGCAATTGAGGCACATTCTATCGTAAATCAAAAGGTTATTGATCCCAATACTTTTGTACTTTGGCATGATCAATTGGGATATCCTGTATTAATTATGATGAGACGAATTTTAGAGAACTCAAATGGTTATCCATTAAAGAATTTAAAGATTCTTTTAAATAATAAATTTTTTTGCACTTCTTGTTATCAAGATAAGTTAATTATTAGACCATCACCAACAAAGGTTGGGATTGAGTCCCCTGCGTTTTTGGAACGTATACTAGGGGATATTTGTAGACCTATTCACCCATCTAGTGGGTCGTTTAAATATTTTATGGTCTTAATAGATGCATTTTATAGATGGTCTCATGCGTGCCTATTGTCATCTTGCAACCTGGCATTTACAAAATTAAAGGCACAAATAATTCGATTACGGGCACAATTTCCCGATAATCCAATTATGTCTATTAGACTTGATAATACTGTCGGGTTTTCATCCTAAGTATTTAATGATTATTGCTTATCAATTGGGATAAAAGTGAAACATCCTGTAGCTCATGTTCACACTCAAAATAGCCTTGCAGAGTCTTTGATTAAACGTCCACAATTGATAGTAAGACCATTACTCATGAAAACGAGGTTACCCACTTCTGTTTGGGGTCATGCCATTTTGCATGCAGCAATGTTAGTTCGTCTCTGGATGATAAATTATCATAAATATTCTCCGGTGTAATTAGTTTTGGATCATGAACCTAATATATCCCATTTAAAAAATTTTGGGTGCGCAGTATATGTGCCTATAACACAGCCATATCGCACCAAGATAGGTCCTCAAAGAAGGTTAGGAATATATGTTGGGTTTGAATCGCCATCTATTATTCGCTATCTCAAAAAATTAACGGGAGATTTGTTCACTGCTCGATTTTCAGTTTGTCGATTCGATGAGACATTTTCCCCAAAATTAGGGGGAGTAAATGGTGAAACCAAACGAGAAAGTTTGTGAAAAAATTCATCATTGTCTCATCTTGATCCACGTGCCTTTATTTGTGAAAAAGGGTGCAAAAGATTATCCATTTGCAGAAAATAGAAAATCAAATGCCAGATGCATTTACGGATCTGAAAAGGATAACGAAATCACATATCCCTGCAGAGAATGTTCCAATCTGTATTAATGTACCTGCTGGACAATCTTCTAGTGTCATAGCTAATGAGTCAAAAGCACGCCTAAAGCGTGGCAAATCACTGGGTTCTAAAGATCGAAATCCTAGAAAAAGAAAAATAAATGATCAAGGTGACACTACGAATGAGTCTCATAAAGAAACCCATGATTTAACCAATCCTGAGATTCATGAGGAAATTAATGAGCCCGAGACTCAAGAAAATAAGGAATTATCAATAAATCCAATCTATATTGAGACAGATTTTAATCGATTGAATATAGTGGTGGATTATGTCTTTGAATATAATGTTGCATCTATCATTATGCAAGATAATGAGGATCTTAAACCTCAATCTATTGGAGAATGTCGATAAAGACGTGATTGGCCAAAATGGCAAGAAGCAATCCAATCTGAGTTGGATTCACTTGTGAAACGTGAACTTTTTGGGCCAATAGTCCAAACACCTAATGGTGTTAAGCCTGTTGGTTATAAATGGATATGTCACAACCCATCTCCATGCTAGGCCGTGATGGCGTCCATCACCGTTGCTGGACAAGCCAACAGTGAACAACTTAGTGATTTCCCTTTTTTTTTTTTTGTTTTTTAAGAAATTCCAACATTTAGCTTTACTTATATTTAAAACATTTGATAAATAAAGGATTTTTAAGGCAAACAAACGAAAACATTTAAAAGCAGTTATAACTATTAAATTATAACCCAAAAATCAAAGTCTACTAAATACGTGCCAAAATCTGGTGTCACAAGTGTGCGGGCAACTAGTAGAATATATAAAAGATTACTATCCTACTGTCTGAAATATAATAGACAGATAAAAATAAAAGAGAAACTTCGGCAGGCTGCTGAACGGCTTAGAAGGGGCAGCTCACCGTGAAGTCTCGATCCAAGATCAGGTACGCGCGTCGGGCGGGTAACTAGATGCACCAGCCTTATATCCTGTACAATTAAGTACAGAAGTATAGTATGAGTACATAAACAATATGTACCCAGTAAGTATCCTGCCTAACCTCGAAGAAGTAGTGACGAGTGGTCGACTTGATACTTACTAGGCCAATAATAATATAATTAAAGTACTATGCTAAGCATGGATATCATGAATGATACTGTCAGTTCAACAACAGGAAGAGATAAGTCCTTCTTTCATAATTATAACATAAATTTCAGTAATACTATTTAGCAGCTTTCATTTCAAGGCATTTAAGCAGAATAAATCATGAAGAATTTTCAAATAATTAGCATGCACAATTATGTCGAGGTCGCACGGCCTGATCCAATAAAATATTTAAATTGTGCACTGCCGGAGGGTCAAACGGCGCGAACCATAGATGCATCTATTTACTACCGAGGCGCTCGGCCCGATCCACAAATAACAATTATTTTCAAGAAATCACAAGTTTCTCATTTACAGTCAAGTATTTCATACAAACCTCCAAGTAAGTGAATTCAACCTTATAAAGTTCTTTTATCAATTTCTATCATGACCAAGTGATTATATTAATAAGTAAGGGCACAAACATTCCAAGTATAGCATGATACGGGTCCTAAACTACCCAGACAATAGCATAATAGTAGTTACGTACGAACTCTCGTCACCTCGTATGTACGTAGCCCCCATAATTAGGTACAAACATTTATTTAATTCACCTATGGGGTTAATTCCCTCTTACAAGGTTAGAAAGGAGACTTACCTCGTCTCAAAGCCTACTTCCCAATTCAAGAACACGCTCAAACCTCCAAATTTGACGTCGAACGACTCGAAGCTAGTCAAACATTACATAAACTAATCAATCTGTGCTCAAAAGTTCATAATTCCACCATTTAAATGGCAAGATTCCTAAAATTCACCCCCGGGCCCACATGCTCGGATTCCGAAAATTTTTAAAGAAGGTTGTTACCCATAACCTTAGGAACATGAATATATAGTTTTTACTGAATTCCATAACAAATTTCGTGATTAAATCTCATTTTTATAAAAAACCTAGGTTTTCACCTAAACCCATAATTTTCCCTAATTTACATATTATAATCTACCCATAAACTATGTATTTAACTCTCATTAAGTAGAAATTACTTACCTCACAAAGCTATGTCGAAATCCCCTCCTTCAAAGCTCTCAAATCGTCCAAGAGTGAGAGAAAATGTGATAAAAATGGCCTAAGTCCATGTTAAATGAGCCCTCACTGCCCAGCGACTTTCGCACCTGCGGTGCTTTGGGCTGCACCTGCGGCAAATGCCTCGCAGGTGTGCTTTTCCCTCATCTGGCCAGGCTACGCATCTGCGGACAAGAAGGGCCGCTTCTACGAGCCTAGCCGCACCTGCGACTATATCTCTCGCACCTGCGCTCACGCAGGTGCGCCCAATCTTCCACATCTACGGATTCTGAGCTGCCCTCCATTTCTCGCATCTGTGGCTCGTGGCTCGCACCTGCGGCTGACCAAGAGCAGGTGCGATTATGACATATCTGGGAGCTTCAGCTGTTGCTCCAAGCTCCCAACTTGGTCCGAGCCTTGTCCGATTGACACTCGGGGCCCCGCTCGAATATACCAACAAGTTTGGAATCATAAAGCAGACTCGCTCGAACTCTCGGAACGCCCGAAACGACATTAAAACTAAGAATCACACCCTAAAATCAATTGAATCAAACTTAAGAACTTCAAGTTCTTCAATTTATTTCCAATGTGCCGAAACGTACTTATACTACTCGAAATGACACCAAATTTTGCGTGCAAGTCTTAAATGACATTACGGAACTATTCCCAGTCTCGGAATTCCGTTTGGACCTTGATATCACCAAAACCTTCTCTAAACCAAATTTAAAGAACTTCAAAGTTCTTCAAGAACCAACTTTCACTATTAGGCGCCAAAACGCTCCCGGGTCATCCAAAACCCAATCCGAACATACACCCAAGTCCGAAATCATCATACGAACCTATTGGAACCATCAAATCTCGATTCCGAGGTCATTTACTCAAAATGTTGACCGAAGCCAAAC